ACACATAGTGTGCAGCTGAGGTAATTTATCATCACCAACTTGTACTGCATAATGGGCTGCTGCACGCGAATAACAAGCGGATCCTCCGCTCACGTAACAGAGAATATGCCCTTACGCAAAGTGCGCACATACACTAAAGCACCATTGTACGACAATCACGTAACACTGAATGGCATATTTACATAGACACGACAAACATGAACGTGAATGTAGAGAATTCACAACACCTACACTTCATGTCTTTGCACATTTTGAGGATTATTAGTGCATGGCATTGCCTTTTTAAGCTATATTGGATTCTGCTGGTGATTTTCTACAATCACTTATAGCAAATATGTGCTACTTTTCCGTTGCTCACTCTAATCACGGTCTAAAAAAACACCCTGACATTCCATATAGATTTATACATATTAAAGCAAGATTCATTTGAAATATCTTTGTATTTAAATGACAAAGACAGGTGACATGTCTGCGTTTAGGTGATAAGGAATTTTGGCACTGCAGATGACTATCTTTTCAACTGCTGTTTACCAATAAGTGTCTAAGACGTCTGCAGCTCGCCTTGATCGGCCCCCACATTTCTGTTCTCCTTAAGGAGTCCCCTCAAACATGAGGGGTTTTTCTCCACTACTCCAATCCATCTCTGCAATCCAGCGGGCCTCCTACTGCGCCTCCTCTAAAGCCTGTCAGAGGGGGGGAGGGATCTCCAGCTAGCTGCATAGTAAATTTAAATTAACATCATGGCAATGAGTTTTGCACGGACAAACAACACTTTTAACATTTTAACAGAAAATGTGAAATGTATTTGAATTTGATTATTAAATGATGCAGTATCAATTAAAGATTTTTTTGTAGTTTTTATATTGTAGTTTAACATATTTTTCTGTCCCGTCACCTTGCACTTTTCTTTGCAGTATAGTAAAAGTGAAATAAATAAACACATACTTACATACATACATAAATGTTTTACTGTTAATGTTATACTGCAGAACTGTATTAAGTTTTTTTTTTTTCAACCTCAGTGTTATTCCAGCATATATTATAGTTTTCATTAGCCTAATATTTTGGATCGTTATACAGTATATATATAAACATACATACATTTTGTTATGTTTTTGTTATTTTTCAGTAGTTTTTCTCAGATGAAAAATTGAGAATGAGAATTTTTTTTCTTTGTTAACTATAATAACCCTTGTCAACACTGATATTATTTGTACATTTAAAGCATTAAATTAAAAGTAAGTATATAAGTAAGTAAGTAAGTAAGTAAATACAACTAGTAGAAATAGTTTTGTTTGAAACTTTGGAGTGGAGTTGGAGTTCTTGATTTAGTTTTTGATATAGCTGTCAGCTCAATCTTGTTTCTGTAAACGTTGGATATTTCCTCAAGTGTGTGATCTCTTTGCATTTCATGTGTCTCATTCCTCATAGAGAGAGAAACTGTAAAGTCAAACAAGCAGCGACCCTGTCCACACACACAACTCTTAGCACACGTTCACTCTCTTCATCTGATAAAATAATCCTGCTTGGGAAGCAATAACACATTGTGATAATTCTCAACAGATGTGAGCATGCCTTAGCAAGTTAACAATAGTCAATGGGGAGTGTGGACAGCGTGAAGGAGAGAGGAAGATGCCTAACAGGCTGCGGTTGTGTACCGGGTTCCCTAGCGCTTCTCAAACCTGGCAGCAAAGTCTGGAGCTCGTCCAGTGTCTATAGATGCAACACAGGTTATTCAACTTTAACAAAGACAGAAGATTCCTGCAGTTGAGAAAAGGACCACAAAACACAGTTTACACCTTAGGTAAAGTCATGTTTTGAGTATTATTAAACTATAGATCTATAATAGCCTGGTTTGGTTTGATTACAGGACTCAAAGATGCAAGTGGAAGAAGCAGAACATGAACAGATACATTTCTTTTCCTCATTGTTTTTGCCTTTAAGAGGCTTCATGTTAAAGTCAATAAATATCTAGTGCAAGTAACCAGGGGAACAAACAGTATCAGATATGATTCTTTATGTGTTGTTCTTATGAAATGTTTCCATGCATGCAGGATGTAAAAATCGATTTTGCACCATCTTTTGAGACACAGTTAACCTATATCGCCCGCTAGTGGACATACATTCATCTGCACATCATGGGGTGAATTTCTCTTTACTTGAGAGAAGATCGCGCCTTTGCTCTATTTCAGCTAAATTAAATAAATGATGCATAAATAATCCACAATTGTTTAAAGGCTTTATTTCGATGATTTAGATAGTTCTAGTGGCTATACGTTACATGTGGTTGGCATGAGTTGCATGCTAGAAATCTGTATATTTTAATACATTGTTTTTGTGTGTGTAGCCTATGTGTGTGTGTGTTCTTTTGGATTCTTTGGGTCTATTTTTTTTATTTATCTTTCCACTTTAAGTGATAGTAAGCTTTTGGAGACAGTTTATCCACTCTTTAGACAATGCTGTTTTTGAAATGTTCAGATTATAGCCTAGACAAAAATCGTAATACTGTTTTGTAAACTTTTGACGAACAATTTTATAGACAACATTCCGGGATGCTAGTTAGATATGTTTAAATAAATAACAGACATATAAAACTAAAATATATTTTTAAATAATCGCCTCCAGGGTTACCTATAAATTATTCACGCTCAACTCAGCCGGATATTAACTTTAAAGTTTCGTGTTTTCTTAACCTTATCAATGACATCACTTGAAAGAAATCTGGAAAGAAATCTGAGCATTTTTACCGGCATATCATTGCTTTTACGTTTTTTAACAAGATTCCAAATCGAACTAATACTAGTTCTGCATTAGCAGTGTAAAACATTGCTCTCAAAGACCAAGATGCTTTCTAACAAACACAAGAATCTTTATTTTATTATCATATTTCGTTATGTGGTCTCCAAAGAGGATTTATGCACTTTGGAGAGTCAGATAGCCTGTACCAAAAATGAAAAAAAAAAGAGAGAAGTGCCAGTAAGTAGTTGTTAAATCTGTAAAAAAGTTTATTTTTCTCTGACCAAATCCTAAATTATTGTTTTATTGTTACTGATAGTTATCAGTGTGCTGCACCTAATCAGCAGCGCGACTCTGACCTGCGCGCAGCTCACCAGACCCGGACACTGAGGGTCAGAGCTCCGCTCCCGGCACCAGCTCCTTCCCTACCGGCGCATCTGCATGTGAAATCGCCATTTCACCCCGCCACACTCCCTAATTGTTGTAAAAATTATTTGTGAAATTGCTTTCCACCAGGAGTGTTCGCCACGGCAATTTCCACACAATCTAAGCGCGCGGCGGTCCCACAGAGCTGAACACACGCACAGCCATTCAGCCTAAAGAATCTGGAGGATTTTGATCATATGTGCGGTTATATGTGCGGGTTTTCACAGAAAAACAGGTGAAGCGACTTACCCTCTTAAAATTACGTTTTAATTAGAATCACAAGGGGTTTCCGACCATAAAGAACGTTACTCTCATGCTATTTAGAAAAAGCATCTGTCCTGGTGTTTTAGAGTAGGCTACCTAGAAACTAAAACACTGGTCTGAAGTACCTTCTGAAACAATACATTTCTATAGAATTATACACTCAACTCGAGAACTCTATACAGGTAAAAGTTCATCGTGCTAGGAAGAGGGTTCATTGTTGAGTCTAAATTTCTACAAACAAAAAAAAACCATTAAAAAAACCGTTATTTCTGACGCATTATTATTATTAATGGTACTATGCATTTTTTTTTAACTTTTTTTTTCAATTGTTTACACGCAATTTTGAAAACCGGGTTCCGTTCATTAGTGTGGTCATTGGCAATCCGGGGCTTTGTAATGACAAGGAAGTAACCTCACAATCCTTATCTGTGTCTAAGGTGTGAAAATGTGTGTAGAGTTTTACAAATCACTGTGTGTAATGTTTTGCAAAAAGGGTGAAGCAGACATTGTGTGTAATGTTGTGCAAATCTGTGGAGGTGTTTTGCTCATTGGAGTAGAATTTTGCAAATTGTGTGGACATTTTTATTTTAGTGTGTAAACAATCGTAAAAAACTGTAAACTGCCATGTTGTCTTGATTAATTTCCAAATTGAATATGTCAATGTTTCAGCCTTTATTATTATTTGTTTTTGGATCATCATGACCCTCTTTGACCTCAATCTCAGGTAGGTGGGCAGTTTTGGATACACTCTTGTTCCTGTTCTTTCTACATACAAAAATAGCATAATATGCAGATCCTTGATATTTTTTAATGACAAAGCCCTGTAAATTGAGGAATGTCTGTCGTGTTTCTCAATTTATACACAAAAATCACTTAATTAATGAAGGAATGCCACACTACGAATCTACAAAATATATTAAACTATGAAATATGTACAAGGTCAAGTTGAAATACAGGATTACAATCCTTTTACAAATGACTACAAACCTATTTTGGCAGAACATTTTTAGGGTCACAAAGATTTCCTACTGCACTGGCATATAAATTAATTGTATTTATTTATTTTTAATTCATAATAATAATAATGCATATTATATTATATTATTATATTATGTGTTTGAGAGAGAAATGCTAACTTTGTCTCTCCCTAGTCCAGAGAGAGTCCAAAGCATTAAACTGACGTTTCAGTTCAAATGAAAGATGAATGAAAACTGTAACATTTCCTGTGTTGACTTAGACAGAAAGTGGGAGGGTGGTGTATGTGTGTGTATGTTTTCTGCAAAGTTCCCCCGGATTGGACGGCAGGTCTTGGGTATTACCCTTTCTCTCCATGATGAATAAAAGAGTGCTGGAGAGCCTATCGTTACGCGCTTCCTCCTCCCGCTATGTGCGCCAAAGTTGGCCACTTAAACTCCTCTCAGGCAACAAACAGGAGCTGTAATCAAAACTAGCAGAACCTCTCACTAATATTTACTCACAGTTGCTTCAGTGCACATTTCATGCTTTCCTCTGCTCATCCTGCTATTGTTTTTTTTATTTTTTGTATCCACTGTAAGAACTTTTTTCTTCTGCACATTCGGCATTGTCCACTGGTGTGTGTTTTGGATTTCTTTTTACCTTTTTTTTTTTTGGGACCTGTTACAGTTTCCACGGCGCAAACAACTCTGGAGCTTTCTGTGCGATTGGTTTCTTTCATTTATTAGTGAGAGATTCAATTGTTTGGGGGTAGCTGGAATGGCTACTTTACCAGGAACAATTCCTCGAATGATGCGACCAGCACCTGGCCAGAACTACCCACGAACCGGATTCCCGTTAGAAGGTACGGAAACAATTCTTCTTCTTATTATTATTCTTAAAGAAAATCACAATTTTATTACATATTTGTAACTGTAATTTTAAAATACTAAAACAAATAATTTTGGACAAGGTATGTCAAACACACTTTCACGCGTTACTGATGGTAAAAAAGAACGAAATTATCGGCCTGAATGGAATTTAAGAAGTAGGCCTAGGCTAATTTATAAGACCGAACAAAAACTTTTAAAAATAGCAGAGATTATACTTATGAAATCAGTTATTTTAAATAACTGACATTGAACCTTCTTTCATAATCTTGTCATCTTGCAGAGTTCTGAGTAAAATGTTCTGAACGTGTTATTTGCACGCGCCGCTTGCGCATTAAATGGGAAACTCTTTCCTGGATCGAGTGAATTCGTGCTTAAGAGCATTTTGACGAAACCCTATACCAAACCCACGAATCCTGCAATCTGTGGGATTTGCTTAAGTATCTCTCAGCAGTGAAGGGAAATAAAACGCACAGCTGAGAGCTGGCTCAAAGCATCACACTAATATTTGTGTTGCATGACTGGGAATAATCGAGGTTTAAAGTGGCACGTCTTTAGTGCCTCTTGAATGGCAATTAGTGTCCTCAAGTGTTACATCCTCTCGTAACACATCAGATAGACTGATAGCATAGAAGGATTCTTTCAGGAAAGAAAATGTGTGAGGATGAGATTTTTGGATGAATTCTCCTCCAGGCTTTGATTAATCATTCGTATCTTCGAATAAACAGAAAAACTTCGGCATGAATCGTTTCAAAATCTTCTCTACATATCACGTGATAAATAATACGATCTGATGTGATTAATCAGAATGACAGCATGTAGATGTTTTTGTGATAAATCTGGAGGACTCGCTTGCAGGATCTCCCCCTCAAAACGCAATGACATTAAATTAAATGCACTTTACATTATGTATAATTTTTGCATGCATAAATTCAACGCGTAATTCCATATATAATCGCATAGTTGAAATGGATGTTATAAAGTGTCACAATCTTTTCTGATATGTTGTTTCCTTTGTTCAAACTTTCTTTTTGGGCCTGGATGTTTTTACACAGTCTCAACGCCTCTGGGTCAAGGTCGAGTGAACCAGCTCGGTGGAGTTTTCATCAACGGAAGGCCACTGCCAAATCATATTCGACACAAAATAGTGGAAATGGCTCATCACGGCATCCGACCCTGTGTGATCTCCAGACAGCTGCGGGTCTCACACGGCTGCGTGTCCAAAATCCTCTGTCGCTACCAGGAGACCGGTTCCATCCGTCCGGGAGCGATAGGTGGAAGTAAACCAAGGGTGAGTGAACGATGTCGAAATAAAAGACATGTTTATACATTTAACAAATCGTAATGGGGGGTTAATGAATAATTATGATGAATTATTAAATATATTTTAATCATAAATATATCTGGAATTGATAGTAAACAGAATGCGCATTTCTTGTGCTTTTTTTCCATCGACACTTTTGGTTCTACGCTAAAGCAAGTATCAACGCCCGACGTTGAGAAGAGAATTGAGGAATACAAACGCGAGAATCCAGGGATGTTCAGCTGGGAAATCCGGGATAAATTGCTGAAGGACGGGGTGTGTGACAGAGGCACGGTTCCTTCAGGTGAGGCCTCTTCCGGTAAGCACCATTTAATTCCTATTGACATAAAGAGGACGTTACGCGCTTCACAGCATCTACTTAATCATAATAATAATAATAAAAATAAATCTGTATATTCGTTTTTAATTAATTTTGGAGTTTTACATTTGAATTCTATAAATGAAATCCCATTTTTTAGTGTGCATTGTTATGATTGTTATATTTGGCGTTACAGTGATTATTATCTCTCTTTATAGTTAGCTCCATTAGTCGGGTTTTGAGAGCTCGTTTTGGCAAGAAAGATGACGATGACGAGTGTGATAAAAAAGATGAAGACGGAGAAAAGAAAACCAAGCACAGCATCGATGGGATTCTCGGGGATAAAGGTCAGAGGCCGTTACATTTCTCACTGGGTGCGAATAGATGCGAGGAAACGTGGTGCGTAAAAGTTGTGCATTATAACTCGAACTCCCACGGAAGATGTTTTTGAGGTGTTGATCGGTTGTACTGACAGATCGTGATGGACTGGTGCTGTAATTGCTGCTGTTGTTGCAATTGATATTTCATTAGGCAGTTATTTGAAAGGGACAGATGCTGCAGTCCTTCATTCTCGCCAGGGGGAATATGTGCGCCGCCTTGGAAAAAAAATGGCACAAATAGCTCTCATTATTCATGCTGCTAGCTGTTCAGTACTTACTCAATTATTTATGTGAGCCCTGACGTCAGGTATTTATCCGGGTAAATTAATTTGTGTGGCACATTCCATTTCCATCGCGTTTTAACGACCCCCTAAACGACAACTGACAGTTTGACCCATTTGAGAATCCATGTCAGTTTAAGCAACTACATTATACGAGACATGTGGACCCCGTGGAGGTGACTTGTTTTGGCAACATTTATTATTATTATTATTATTATTATTATTATTATTATTATTATATGATCTTCATAATATTGTGAAATGAAAATGATCATTTGACAATACTTGAACTGAATTGCATAACAGGCTTCATACTGAAAAAGCATAATTTATTAATTATTTATATTGTATTATTATTTTATAATAAAATAAAAATAAAAAAACATATTTGTTATTATAAATATTTATATTTAGGTCATATATTTAATATATTTATATTATATTTAAGAGTCTGTAATTAAACATTATAGCCTACTATTATAATTCGAAACGGTCATATTATATTCTTTCAATTATACGCGATATATTTTTTATTTTAGATTTATAGCGGGTCACAGTACCCTTTTGCCTGTTTCTAAACGTTGTTATGAACAATCTCGTTTTAAGCCTTTGTAACCTTTAGACTGAAATACAAAAGAGAACGGCTCTGGAGCCGGGCAGCAAAAAGAGTAACTGGACCGGTGACCCCCATTCAAAGATCCCAGAAAACAGGGGAAAACTTTGTACAAAGGGTAGTAAAAAAAAAAGAAAGGCAGATAAATTATTCAGTGCTCCCTGCTGGTAGATAGTTTTGTAATATGAAGGAGCGTTTACAATTGTAAGCTCAACATTTCATGGTGCAAAACGGCGTCTTTTGTGCGGGTTTAGTTGCGCGTAACTGCGCAGTTGGTTTAAGACAAAGTAAAGCTTTTACATTTACACTTATTTAGATTGAGTTTCTTTAATAGAATTGGTATAAAATGATAATGATATTTTGCGATGGATAAATCAATCAGGGGTGCGTTTCCCAAAAGTAACTATGGTTGCAAGTTCCGTCGTTACCAATAGATTTATCTACCATAGGTAGCTAACGATGCTTTTGGGAAACGCACCCCAGTATGATTAAATAAAAATATCTATAGTAGCCTATTACTTCTGTTTTCTCTTGTAAATAATGCCAAAGTTATACGCTCAGATGACATCCCTCAAAATTACTTTTATATGCATTTATACACAGGCCAAAACTGATATTCGTTATTAAACAAATGCATGAAAAACAATCTCTCTGTTGCTGTCCACTGGTTGTTAATTTGTTGGGAATGTTGTGAGTGCGTCATCTCTTGGTTAATTATTCCATAAATCTGTCATTTATAGTGTCTCGTCTTCTGCACAACACTGAATCCACTGTTAAATTCTTTGAAGGGATTCTTTAAGTTTACCATCCGGATAACATTTAATAATGTTAAGACTTATTAGAGCTGCTGTGTGTTGAATGGGCGTCTGTGTTGCTGAGGAGTGTAATAGCTCGGAGGCACCGGTAAGAAACACACTGATCCTCCAGCAGCTCTCGCGCCGGGGTTTCGCGCACAAACGTAATGTAGAAGAGCTTTTAAGCCCTGATTAAACTGAGTCCCTTTATTTCTTTTCACTTTCATCTCTAAACGGCTCACAGTGACTCGCCCAGGGCGTAAATTCATGAGATTTGGAGTTTATTTTACATGATATTTATTTATTTATTTATTTAGGGTATGCAAAATACATGCTGTTTTTTATTGCATGTCTTTATAAGGTGTTAGACTGATTACTATCTAGTTCACCAGAAAAGTCCTCAGATTTTTATTGACTTGTTTTGGTATACAACATTTAGTTATTTATTTATTTAATGTGTTAATTAGATGTTAAATTGCTTACGCATATTTAGTTGATAAAAAAAAGTCATACCTCAGATTTTTGTTGACTTGTTTTGGCATTATTGTTTTAAAATTATATTATCTTATAGGCTTCATATACCAAAAATATATATGCAATTTATTAAATAAATATAATATTACATTTTATTTTAGCCGCATATATAATAAAATACATGTATTTTTTATACAAAATTAATTAATTTAAAAAAATTATTCAGACCTTATATTTATGTTGACTTGTTTTGGCAAACAACATTTATTTATGTATTTATTTATTTATTTGCGTGGCATGTGTTTACGCAGTTAGAATCTGGTAGATTATTTATTTATTTATTTATTTATTATACATAACACAGTGTTAAACGTTTTGAAAACAAACGACATCTGTGTTGTCTGTGCTCCCTACACCGTGACTAGATCTCCGTGTACCTAACCTTAATAGCCAGAACTATGACTTCCACATTTGGTTTAGTGGCCATTACAATAATAATAATCTTGTGCACCTGCCATCCTCGTTACGGAAATAAAAAAAATATATATGATGAGCGACAGCAGAGTTAGCACAAACCTGCCAAACTAAATTAGTCTCTAATGGGTTCCAGCCCCGCGTCTGACAGCTCACCTGGCGCACTTTTTGTCTGGAGGAGCATGTTAAACGCGACCACGCGTCCATTTGTGAGAGTGGCACTGGACACTTCAGCAGATCTGTGGATTACCTGAGCTTTTCAGACTAGCCTAATCAAACAGACTTCAGTCAGGGGTTTAAGAGTGTTGTTGTGGGATAATAGTGATAAAAACCTGTAGGCGAGACGGATGTGAGCGATGCGCAGACTCGGTTTTACTGTACACAGGAACTCAGTGATATTTAGAAGAGAACAAAAATTCATACTTTCGTAATGCAACATTTCTCCTGTGATAAAGCGCGAAGAATATTCTGGAATAGCAGTTTCTTACAGTTTTGGCGCCCTGGACGCGCACCAGCAGGGCATTTTCTCTCTTGCTTCACATTTATATGAAAACAAAGCAGATATACCTTCGGACCTAAAGCCGCATTGATCCACAAATCCATCTGGAATAGAATATGTTACAGGGACACACAGAGAGAGAGAGAGGAAGATTAAGTGAAAGTAAGGGGAAGTTATTTAGCTATTAATATTTTTTCTCCTCAGGCGTCGAGAGTGACTCCATCTGCACTTTCTTGCAGCTATTTTGGCTGGGCTGAAATTGTGGGAGACCCAAATGTTGGGCAGAGATAACATAACCATCAGAGTGTGGACCATCACTGCATTAAACACGGATTAACCTCTTCTCTCCCGTCACCCTGTCTCAACGCAACTCGAGAATTTGACTGGCGAGG